AATAACAATCATATCCCTATTTTTTCTATTTTACCCTCATTTTTTATACACAATATTTACATAAAGAGGGCAAAATGGTAATTACTCACAACTATAAATAATAGTGTACATACAACTGATCATCTGTTACGTGTTATTTCATATAATTCTAATTAACTTTCACATTAAATGTTACATTTTTAAATTTTGAAAAAAAATTAACCAAAGTTGAGCAAAAAGACACAAGATAGATGATTAAGTGTATAATGAGCATACACCATAACTTATGGTCGTGAGCAAAAAAGCTTCCATGAATGAAATATGGCTATTGAGAACCAACATAGGATGCCTCAGTGGTTAGGAACGAATCCCAAGCTCATATTTCATACGACATGTTCTGGATACGATTATTGGGATTGGTGAATCCATGGTAGTGGGCAGTGTAAGATGAAATGCGTTCCAAGTTCTCAAAAAGGTGAATTTTCAAGACGAAGCAGGCAACTAAGTTTTTTTTTTTTGGGTAAATTACATAAAACTACCTCAACTATTGGGCTAGTCACAATTTCATACCTCATCTTTAAAAAAATGTCAATATCATACCTCATCTTATGAATTTGTTACAATTCCATACCTTCCGTCAGTTTGTCTATCAATTCTTCCGTTAAATAGTAATGTGGCTTGAGAAGGGGCCCATTTTCAATCCCAACTAAATTAAAAAATTAACTAAATGTTAAAAAAAATAAATAAAATAAAAACCAAACGCACACCCAGATCCCCTTCCTTCCCTCTTACATTTTTACAACTCCCGCCCTCTCTTCCTCCATCTCTACCTCCCTCCCATGGCGCTCCTCCCCCTCCCCCTCCTACACACCCATCACCCTCTCCAAGAACCTAAAACCCCATATTTGGCTTTTCCAGAAAACCTTCGCAGCCTCCCTCATGCCTCCCTATTATCCTTTCTAAAACTAGCGCAAACCAGTACACCATCACTGGTAACCTCGCCATCTGCAACACCGCGCACAGCCCTTCATACCATCTCTAACCAAAGGGTTCAGAGGGTCAAAAATAGCTCGAAAACCGTTTCAAACCGAAGGCTAGGCCAAATGGCTCGTGGGCCCCACTAGACAACAAAAGGCCAAAGGCTGGCTGGCTGGATTTTTCATTATTAATACATTTTCTATCGGATATATCCGACAATATTGTACTTATTCTTGTTGATTATAGCCGACATGAATGGTAGACCCTTTTTTTTTCTTTTTTTTACAAATTTTTAAATTCTCTTTTTTTTTCCTATAACTTCCTAAGCCATTATGCAACATTAAATAATATTAAATTTAAATAATAAATTATGTTTGGCCCTCGGTTGGAGATAGTTTTTTGTGACAGGGTTAAAACGAGCCCTATGACCATTTGGGCATCAGTTGGAGATGGAGGCAAATATGACCCTATACTATTCATTAAAATATTAATATCTTGGAGGGCCAGAAGGATAAAATGAGCCCTCTGGCCCTCGTTCAGTTGGAGATGGCCTTAGTTTCGTCGTATTTTTCTGTAACGGTTCATAAACCAAGGCAACGTTTTGCGAGACGGAGAACGAAAACAACAAGGGGAAAGGAGACAGAGGGTTCGATTAGGAATCAGAGCCGAGTACCAGCCAAATTAGCAAGAAAATGGGGCCAGGAACCCGTACTACAGAGGCAGTCACGAAGCAACTTTGCCATGGTACAGACGATGACGATGGGGAAGGAGAGTGGGCGTACATGGAGAAGGTGATGGGTGTGTAGGAGGGGGAGGGGGATGAGCACCATGGGAGGGAGGTGGAGATGGAGGAAGAGAGGGCGGGAGTTGCAAGGGGAAGGAAGGGGATCTGGGTGTGGGTTTGGTTTAGTTTGGTTTGGTTTTTTTATTTTATTTTTTAATTTTAATATTTAGTTAAAATTTTAATCTAGTTGGAATTGAAAGTGGGCTCCGTCTCAAGTTACGTCACTATTTAACAGAAAAATTGACAGACAAACTGACGGAAGGTTCTAAATTGTAACAAATTCGTAAGATGAGGTATGACATTGACATTTTTTAAAGATGAAGTATAAAACTGTAATTAGCCCAATTATTAAGGTAATTTTATGTAATTTACTTTTTTTTTTTTTTTTTGGTTGAAAAAACAGTATGACTATTGGGGTAGTGTAGTTTGGCTATGATTCGAGTTTGACCATTCTCACATGGTAGTGCTTTGTAGGATTTATAGCAAATCAAACCTAAATTTGATGTAACCTTTTTGTGGTTGTAGCTACAAGAAATGCTTTTATATTCTAGATGTATTCCAGATGTTGCTGATGGGACAAATCTAAATTACGGGTGAAAAAAAATTTAAATACTTGCTAATTTCAGATATGATACTCTTCGTGTATTCTCACAATTGCTTTCAATTCCAAAGTTACAGTGCAAATATTTCAAATGTCAACGGTTAAAAAATCTTTGCGTAGTTAAGTTAATTAGAGTAATGTATCCTTTATTCTATATTCATTTGGATTCTTTACATACAGTTTAAATTAGACTAAAATAACGATCGAAAATGTGACTTAGCACAACAAGTTTAATGGTATAACTCTTTACTTGTAAGTGATAAATTTTAGATTTGATTATCACTAAAGTCAAATTCAATCCAAATTATTATGGTTAGCCCATTGTAAGATTTAACCTACTCCATCACTTTTTTTTGTTGTTGTTGTCGTCGTTGTAAAAACATTACATCTAAGTTTAGATAATATCAATTGTATTCAAAATAACGCGACTAGATTCAATGAATCACCTTTTTGTTGACTACGTTCAATGAATCATATTAAATGAGCTGAAAAGTTATATTTTAAAAAAAGTGGTAGATTGTCATGGTGATTAAAATTTTCATCTTCAACCTATTACGTACTAAGTTTATCAGTCCATTAAAAAAAACGTTGCCATTATTTTACCTTATAATTCAACGTTTTTTATATCCATAAAATGAAAAATTGAAACCAATTTTTAATAATACGGTCGGTACACAATTTTTATTTATTTTCATTTAAAAAAACTGTTCATCATGAGGAATGGAAATGATGGCATCGGTTATAATGGAAGAGATGTATCCTCTATCCATTTGTATCATGACACGTAAATTATTTGTTCTTTTAAAATTGACCATAAAAAACATATGCAATGTATATTCACTGTCCTACCCTTTACTTGTTCAATTTTTTAGATTCATAATTCTTTTTGCTTGTAATCACTTACCGTCATATCCGGTTACGTCAAAGAATACGAGTCATCTTCTCTTAATAATAGTATTGATAAATAAACAACGCTACCTAGAATTAAATAAAAACAATTAAAAAATGTGGTCCAACACAACACTTTAATTCTTTTTGAAATAGCACGTCTAGCATTGATTCATTTCCCCTAAAATCAGAAAGAGTTTGACCCACAAATTAATATGAACATGCAAACTACATACATACATATTTTACGCATGCGGAAGTCATGTTCCAACCATTTTTGAGTGCGGAAAGGTCCCTTTCCGGATCCCTTTCACAAAATCCATCAAGTCAATCAATTTGAGTTCTTAAAAATTGATTTAACGGCTACAAACAGAAACTCATTTTAAAAGTTATAATAACTTTAGTCATTAGATCAAATTTCAAGGGCCCAAATTGCTGACCTTGATGGATTTGGTGGAAGAGATCCAGAGAGGATCCCTTTCGCTAGATTAGGCATTTCTGACGAGTTGGTTGAGATAGGTTGTACCAATTAAAATGAATTAGAGTTTAGTTCGTTATTTGTTATGTCAAAATGTGAGATGGATATGACTGGACATGATAGATTATGAATCGACAATAGAGTAGATTATGTAACGTATCCTTATATAAGTTACAAGTTTCATCTTAAACTCTTTGCCAATCCAATTCTATCCTATAAGATCTGTTTGGTGGGCTTGCTTAAGAATAATATTATATTGACACATACTTATAAGACATGACTTAAAAAGAATAACCGTATTGTTAGCCTCAAAATCATCCTCAATGCATGTATTTATATTATACAGATCCTTTAACAACAGAGATCCCCAATTTTCAAAAAAAAAATGGGGATACCCTCTTGACCGTTGGATTTAGCTTTAATGAGATTGTGTGACCTATGATTTAACCTCGACCATACAATTTCATTAAAGCCAATTCAACGGTCAAGAGAGTATCCCTATTTAAAAAAAAAAAGAGGATCTGACACTGGAAAAAGAGATCAAAGAGAAACCACAAGTGAACACTCAAAGATATACAACTCGCCACCCTAAGGAATCCACCAAAGAGATAAGAGTTTATGGATAGGAAGAAATTCACACTTTACTAAACCAAGTTTAAAAGTAATTCTTAATTTCTGAATAATTTCCATACATGAGTACTGGGTTTAAATAGCTAGGCATGGAACAACTTTCTACCTTCAAGGAAGAGGTTACTAAACATAAACTTAATGAGAATATGAACCATCTTTGAATTAAATTACTAAACAACAACCTTCAACCTTCCAAATTCTATTCGGTGTCAGGGTCCCTCTTGTTAAAGAATCCTTTATATTATATAGATCAAGAAAGTGTCCTTAATTTAAAAAAAAAATGAGGATCCCTCTTGTGAAAGGATCCGTTATATCATATATGTATATTACGTAGTCCGCGTTGTTGTTTAAATAAAGAAACAAAAAACAAAATCAAAAGAGTAAAATAATACCGTTGGGGCGAGAGACGACGTGTGAAGGACACGGATAATACGTATGTGTAAGCACACATTCATTCTCTTCACGCCTTTTCATTTCGTCCCATCCTCCCCCACCCCCCACAAAAATAAATATTAAAATCCCAGCCCGTACCCAAACCAAACCCAAACCCAACTCCCGACACAAATCTTCGAATTTCAAATTGCAAAAAGCGAACTTTCAATCGAAACGAAACGAAACGAAACGCAAAAGCTGGGAGAGGTCGCGACGTATCAGTTTCTATTGATTCGTTCAAATTATTGATTGATCGGTTCGCGAATTCGATTTTCATACCGTACGACGTCGTGCTGATTGATCATCAACTCAACTGACGCGACGACGACGAGGGGACATGGTAGGGGGAGGCGGCGGCATAGCCATGGACTTTCCGGCCGACGAAAGGGCGTCGTCCTTCTCTTCGCCTCCGAGACTTCCCACAAGGCTCAGACGGAGGCTCAGCCTTGTCGACTGTAACAAGAGTCATAACACCGCCGAACAAATTCAGGCCAAGCTCAGACTCGCCGATCTTCGCCGTCAGGTTTCCCTCCCTCTCTGTCTTTCTCTATTTGTACTATTCATTTCTTAAATGCTGTTTTTCATCCGTGAATTTTTATTTTCGAATTTGTAATTTTCTTTTTGTCTACAATAACAACAACAAAAAAATACCTTATCCCACTAATTTTCTTTTTGTTTACTGAGAAAATTTTGATGATAATTTGGTGCGGGAAAATTCAAGACTGGACTGAGCCATATACTTCAGTCAAGAACTGTTTTTCTTAATTTTCTTTTAATTTTAATTTTAGGTAGGTGATGCTGATTGCTGACTTATTAAGGATCCATGAGTAGCTTGTTATCAATTTCTCTTACTTTTTTATGAACTTTTTGGTTCCAAATTTTGAGATGATATTCAAATTTATTTGTTTTCTTATTGTTTTCTTTTGTACAATCTTTTTTATCGCAATTGAACGGAAGAGGGTTTTACTTTATAAATTTTCATATATCAAAAACACCTTGGGAATTTTGATTCAGTCTTTGTTTTGTTTTTATATTTAATTAAAGTAAATTTTGTAGATGGTTAGACTGTTTATACCTTTAATTTAAAGCGTGTTGCTTTTGCTTGTGGTAGGTAAGGTTGTTTGAAATCTGGGTTTTCTTCCTTTTTTCATGGGTGTCTCTGTTTTCAAGTCTGGAACAAATAACAGTATTGTTTTTCAGTAATCGTATTTTCTTGTTAAGCGATGTGTTTTGTGGCGTAAAATTTTGTTATATCGTTTCTTAAGTCTGCTTGAATCTAGTTTACAGTTTAAATCTGACTTTTCGAATTTCATTAATTGGTTTGGGTACAGGAACACTATGAAAAGTTGTCAAGCAAGGCACGGGCGAAGCCGAGGAGTCCTTCCCGATCTTCATCTGAAGAGGAAGACCTTGGCCAGCGACTAGAAGCCAAGCTACAAGCTGCTGAGAAGAAAAGGTAACACTTGAATAATTGAATTTATGTCGTTTAAGAAGCTCACCCTTCTATAATGTTGTTGGCTTAGAATGATGCTTAGTTTCACTTTCCAATGTTTCATGGTCCACAATGTTTTAAATGGTCCACAATGTTTTGAATGGTCCCTCTTCGTTTTGAAGGATTTCACTCTTTCTGTTTTTCCTTATCATGATTGAAAATATTATTTTTCATTCTCACCAGAAAGTGAACCCAGGACTCTCTTGGATGCATATATTGGGACCCTATTTTTTCAATTGATTTTTACCCCCAACTGATAATTATTTCCTTTGTGAAGTTACTCTCTTTTCTTTGCTCCTACTAAGTTATGACTCGGACCAAAACTCGACGAGTTGACCATGCTTCCTCCAGTCTCCACGTCCTGATTAATCTTGTCATTCTGTTGCTTACTGTTGAACCAACAGGTTGAGCATTCTTGAAAACGCTCAAATGCGCTTGGCGAAATTGGATGAATTGCGGCAAGCAGCTAAATGTGAGGTAGAAATGCGTGTTGAAAAGGAACGTCAAAAGCTTGGGTCGAAAGTGGAATCACGTTTTCAGCAGGCAGAGGCAAATAGAATGCTTATGCTCAAAGCTTATAGACAAAGAAGGGCTACTCTGAAGGAGAGGACATCTCAGTCCTTATTGCGGAAGATGGCTTGGGAGAAGAAGTACAAGGAACGAGTACGTGCTGCAATTAGCCAAAAACGTGCAGCTGCTGAAAAAAAGCGATTGGCACTTTTGGAAGCAGAGAAGAATAGGGCATGTGCAAGGATGTTGCAAGTGCAAAGAGTGGCTAAGTCTGTCTCTCATCAACGTGAGATTGAAAGGAGGGCGAAGAGGGAGCAGTTAGAAAATCGGTTGCAAAGGGTATGCATTTCATTTACACAAGCACAACTTATTTCTCAGTTCTACCAGTGGCCTTTTGTTGCTGTTCTAGTGTTTCCTAATAAACTTTTATTTTTTGGTTATACATTTAGGCAAAGAGGCAAAGAGCAGAGTATCTAAGGCAAAGAGGAAAGCTACAGATATCTTTTCAAGTGAGTTGGAATAGGATGCACGAGGAGGCTGATCTTCTTTCCAGAAAGCTAGCAAGGTATGCATCCTTTGAAATACTGATCTCAGAGAGTTGTTTTGGTCTGGGTCAAAGCCTTGTGGTTGTTTTCGTATTTTCGAGTAGATGTTTATTATTCTTTGTTGTGTTTTGCGGTATACCAGAGTCAACCGTTTATATTTTTTTTATGGTTATGAAGCTTTAGATTAAGTTTCACCTGTTTCTATGATAATGAAAATTTTTAGCTTGTAAAATGCTGATATCCTATTTTTTACCCAAGTTTAAACTACAACTTTCAGCCTAAATGTGTGTTGATATTTAATAGGTGTTGGAGGCGTTTCCTCAGGCTGAGGAGAACTACACTTGCTTTGGCAAAAGATTATGATGCCTTGAAAATTACTGAAAAGGCTGTCAAGTCAATGCCATTTGAGCAGCTTGCAGTTTTGATTGAATCAACTGATACCCTTCAGACTGTGAAAGCTCTTCTTGACCGGCTTGAGAGTCGGTTAAAAGTTTCCAGGGCTGTTGCCTCAATAAATTATCCATCCAACTTTGATAACATAGATCACCTTCTTAAACGAGTTGCTTCCCCAAGAAAGAGAACTACACCAAGGCCATCTTTAAGGAGTAGAAGCGCAAATAAAGCATCTTCCATCAGGGACACAGCTAGAAATTCTGTTAAATTATCAAGATATCCGATGAGAGTGGTTCTTTGTGCTTACATGATTTTGGGTCATCCAGATGCGGTTTTCAGTGGTAGAGGAGAGCGTGAAATTTCTCTGGCCAAATCTGCAGAAGAGTTTGTTAGACAGTTTGAGTTACTACTAAAGGTTATATTCGACGGCCCCATGCAAAGCTCTGATGATGAGTCTGATTCCGCATCGCCCAAACATTTGACCTTCAGATCTCAGCTTGGAGCCTTTGATAAAGCATGGTGCTCCTACTTGAATTGTTTTGTGGGTTGGAAGGTTAAGGATGCTCAGCTATTAGTGGAAGATTTGGTGAGAGCAGCGTGCCATTTAGAGCTCTCTATGATTCAAACTTGCAAGATGACTCCGGAAGGAGTGACTGGTGATCTTACTCATGATATGAAGGCTATTCAGAAACAGGTACATTAGTTGTATATTGATTTTTATTATTTTTTTCCTTCATTTCTTTTGTAAAAAAATTGTGTGACATATTTAAGAAGACTGGGTTTGTTCCACCATCAGCAAAAAAATCAAACTTCTCTTTCTTTAATATCATTTGATTTATGTATAGGGGGAAAGAAGACAAACTGGCACACCCTCCACTCCATCTTAGGTTTTTACTTTCTGTTATAAACTAATGGGTTTTACTCACCTTCCTCTTTCCATTTTGTACTTATTCTTGTTGCTTGCTTGTGAACTTTTATGTTTTCAATTACCATCATTGCGAGTATGTTTGGGAAAATAATATATGTCACTTTTCAAAAAGGAAAATCCATGCTTGCTAATTTTCATCTCTTTCAGTGAGAGGGGCCAATCTTTTCTATACAGTAAAAGAATAAGCTAAATATTGACTAGTTTTACAAATTTCCTTTATAGGAATTGTTCAACTTTGTCTTTTCTTTTTTTGACAATCTAGCAGTGTCTTTATGTTGACTTATTGGCTGACATTTTGAGTTATATGTTGGCGTAGGTTACTGAAGACCAAAAGCTATTGAGGGAAAAAGTGCAGCACCTAGGTGGAGATGCTGGGATCGAGCGTATGAAATCTGCTATATCCGAAACACGGTTAAAATACTTTCAAGCAAAGGAAAATGGAAGCCCATCAGGGTTGCAGGTCACACACATTATTTCTCCAAGTCCCCCTAGTTCAACACTCAGTCCTTCTGCTAGTGCAGATAAGAGAAGTAATCCAGGTCGTGTAGTCCGATCCTTATTTAGGGAAGATGCTACTGCTCATCATGGAGTTCTATCCTCTGCTAGGAAAACCAGTTTGGATCAGCAGCGTGGATCTTCTTCACAAAAGTTGGTCACAGAGAATGAATTAATTGTGAATGAGTTTCTACATGAGCAGAAGCATGGATTTGCCAATATTTTTGATGTTACTGACGAAGATCCAAACAATGTTCAGGTTTGTGCATTTCATATTTGTAAATAATATTAGTGGTTGAAGTTAAAAATGTAAATATTGTTGTTTTGGATGTTGACAGACTCATAAGTAATGCCGTTTCATCTATTTGTGGTCATATTTTGAAAAGGATATTTTGTTTGTTGTTACACATGTATTTACTGATGATGAGCCAGAAATTTTACCACTTTTCTGATTGATGGGTATTATATTTTCCAGTCAAAGATAAGACAGACAATGGAGAAGGCTTTTTGGGATGGCGTAATTGAATCTGTAAAAGAGGATGAGCCCAACTATGACAGAATAATTCAACTCATGATGGAGGTGAGGGATGAAATCTGTGAGATGGCTCCACAGGGCTGGAAGCAAGAGATTTTTGATGCTATTGATGTGGATATTCTCTCTCAGGTAGCAGCACCATTAATTGTCTTCTCTAACATTACTTTGCATGCATGGATAGAAAATTAACTTCTATTCTTTGTCCTTAGGTTTTGAAATCTGGTAACCTGGACATTGATTACCTGGGAAAGATCCTAGAGTTTTCATTGGTCACTTTGCGAAGGCTGTCCTCTCCAGCGACTGATGATGAAATGATGGCCACATACCAGAGTTTAAGGAAAGAACTAGATGAGATATGTCAAACCAGGGACGACTCCAACTGCTCAAGTGTCCTGGCAATGATCAAGGGCCTGCGTTTTGTTCTAGAGCAGATTCAGGTATGTCTCTAGTTTTAGTTGTACATCTGAAAAAGGTTTCGCGTTGTATTAATTTCTTTTGTGGAATAGAAACCTATGGGCAATAAGTTTCAGAAGGGTAATAGTAACGTCTTTCATTGAATTATTGGTACTGTATGCGTATTTTTTGTAGTACTATTTGCGAGTTGTTGCATGAGAATTGAAAATGTTTTCAGTGTATTTGATAGTTGCCTTTTATATCTCAAAACACAGTATTTCAAACATTTCTGTTAAAAATTCTACATATAACACTAGTCAGTGGATTCAAAGTGTAATAATGTATATTGAAATACATATTGAAATACCAAGATTCCCCCAGAGTAATGTAATGCTGGATTTTGTGACAGGCGCTTAAACGAGAGATTAGCAAAGCACGTATAAGAATTATTGAACCTTTGTTAAAGGGGCCAACTGGTGTGGAATACCTGAGAAAAGCTTTTGGCAATCGCTATGGATCTCCCTCGGATGCCAATACCTCTCTAGCACTTACAGCACAGTGGCTTTCAGCAGTGTGGGATTGCAAAGATCAGGAGTGGCAAGAACATACAATCTCTTGCTCAACTCTGATGAGTGGTGATAATCCATCTCAGGGGTTTGTTCCTTCCACCGCCCTTAGAAGTGGGGGAAGCTTTCTGGTGAAATCAAATTCCCCTTCTACTTCTGCTGCTACTAATAGCACAGGTTTGAGTACGGAAATTACTTTTGTAATTTTTTTATTAAGGGGATGTTTGTAATTGCAAAGTGGGTTCCGTGTTCTTTGTTTAATATGTGTTTGTTTCTCTTGGACTAGGTATTCAACAACCGGAATGTAAGGGAGAAACAGTTGATTTGTTGGTGAGGCTTGGTTTGTTGAAGTTGGTTAGCGGTGTGTCTGGTTTGACTGAGGAGGCTCTACCTGAGACTTTCAAGCTTAACCATTCTAGGCTGAGGGCTGTTCAGGCTCAAATTCAGAAAATTATTGTTACTTCCATAAGGTAACTTAGCGCTCGTGCACTTGGATTTACTTGAAACAATATGGGGGTTTCCTTTTTTTTTTTTTTTTAGTGCATAAAAAGTAACGTTCCTAAATGATCAACGTTTCAGTTGTCTTTGCTTTGAGTGACTATATCATAGATTTCTAATCCCCGGTGAAAAATATGTAAATGCAGCATCCTTATTTGCCGGCAAACCCTTTTAAGCGAGAGGGTAGTAACCAGCTCTATAGACATGGAACACATAGTATCAAAATGCACGGAGCAACTTTTGGGAACCTTGGACAGTGTCGAAGATGCTGGCATGGAGGAAATTGTTGAATCAATTAGTGACTTCTCGATTGACAGTAACAAAGTTGTAGACAGCGAGAAACTTCGGTCAAGGAAGGCAGTTATGACGAGCATGTTAGGAAGGAGCTTGCAAGCTGAGGATCCCGTGTTTAAAAGGGTTTCTCGTGCTGTATATACGGCTGCAAGGGGAGTGGTTCTTGGCGGAAGTGGATCCCTAGGAAGAAAATTAGCGGAAACAGCACTCCGGCAAGTTGGAGCTGTTGCGCTGACCGACAGCTTGGGGGAAGCCGCAGAGGTTTTAGTGGTGGCAGCCACCGTATCGGTTAGTGTTTATGGACCTTGGTATGTACATCTGACTGAGGACATGTGAAGGGGTTGTATTTGTCGAAAATTATGACGACGTCGTACATAGAAAAGAAATAAAATACACACGAGTATGTACATGGTGGTGTGGGTGTTGTGTGTACAAGTTATGGGGGCAGTGGAGATATGCAGTGTGTAATTTGTAAAGCTAGTTCTAGATTGTATGTAGCTGTGTAGAGATGTAAGGTATGGATATTTCTAATTCTTTCATGTAATGAAAAATAAGGATGTGAATATTTTCTAGACTAAATTTGGATTTAAGTTGCTCTGTGTTTAATAATTATTTCGCTTTCAGTTTTAAAATAAAAACGAAAACTAAAGAAGTGAAAACGGTTCTCCTCCTATCTGTTGTCGAGGGTGGCCGCTTCGGTCTTAACACCCCTACTACTGATGTACAGCCTTTTCTTGAGTTCGTAGAGTTGGGGTTTCACTTACCCACAATGGAGGAATCGCCAGTCAAGCGGCTATGGATTATAACAATATTCGTTCAAGAATCTCAACGTAAAGTCTCATCCTAATTTTTAAAACACTTTTAATTTTTAAAACTTCACAGCGAGGTGAATGTGAAAATAAATAGATTGAACGGTGATTTATGTAAGAATTTGCAAAACCAATTGAAAATTGTAAGTGTTAATCGCGTTTTTTTGTAAAAAAATGCAAATTTTTTATTTTCTCTATATTTTCCGTGAGCATTAAGGAAATCATTAGAATGTATTTGGAAGTGGATTTACAATTTATGGAACAACAAGTGTATATTTAAACCGAAAAGTAAAAAAAAAAAAAGAAAAAAAAAGGTTTCAAATTCTCGAGGGTGCCAAAAAGTCATGCGTGACTTTCTGGTACCCCAGGAATTTTTGTTAGTTTTTCTTTTATTTCTCTTACCACTTTAATAAACTATCATATTCATATTCTTCAAAATATATTTTTCCGCAAGTGGATCCCAACTTGTTTTCTGAGCACCTGGGAGTTCGCCTTGTTCTGCATGCACCGAATCCGTCTCGTTCAGCATGTGAGGTGTTCACATCATTTTACGTGCCATAAGCCCACCTCGTTTTCCGTGCGTACAGCTGGCCTCGATTTTTGTGTTTATCACTTCTGTAACATGTAGCCGCAGTCTTAGTGGGATGGATTGCAGCAGTGCTGGATTCTTGTCAACAAGTTTGGGTGCCTTGGCTTCAGTTCTCGGCATGGAAGCTGTGACTCCTAATGGTCATTCCCAACCGTCTTGTTACGGATGAGAGGAGGAGGAGGAGGAGGAGGAGGAGCGGAGCTGCAATTCTACTATCGAGTAGGACGCAAGACTAGAAACTATGTAGCTAGGTGTGTGCTCCGGCATCTCGTCCGAGCACACGTTGGTTCAGATGATGTCCCCGATCTGGTTTGATAACCATTGTTGGTGTACAAAAAGCCCCTGCAAGGGTGGATTACTTTACAGAGAAATTATGGGGGAAGACTAGTTTGATCTTATGTGAGAGGATTGATTCCTCTTTGCCGGCTCGCCTCAACTTCTTAGGGAGAACGAATCGCACTTAGTGGTGTTAATCTTCGTGACCTTGATCTTTCGAAATTAGACTTGAGCAATTCGTTATTAATTGAGAAGCAGATGTTGAATCTGCTTCTCAGCTAACAACCATCCAGATTAAACGAATTTGAAAGAGTATACAAGTTTACTGTGGCGAATCTCCACGGAGCTTCTCTCGTTTGTGCTGAATAAGATCTTCGAATAAGATCTACGTTGTTAGATTAGATACTGCGTATGAATAAGATCTTCGAGGCACTCGTCAAATTAGATCGACGTCTCAACTTTACGTAAAAGAATAGATCAATCAATATGATATTAACCAAGGACCAAATTAATTACGAGACACAAACAAAATCATCTAAATAGCAGAGGGAAAACATTTGCATTTAAGCCTCAAACCTCAAGGGCATTAGCCTTCAAGAACCACCGTGAATAATGTCATCTTTAAGGCAGGAAGATTTATGCGATGAGTACACAGATCACACTGAGTATCCGCTGCATTTCAGAGACATAAGAGTCATCATCGTGAGTATATGTACGGAACTTTGAAGAGATAACCCTAGGTCAACGAAATGAGTTCGTACTGTACACACTTTGAATCGTAAAGGTTTCATGGATAATTACCATCAGGCAGGCATCCCTCAGGTGTCGTTTATCTGTACCAGAACCTTATTCTTCTTGCCTGCAGATAAAAGGAGAAGTTTTCCGTCCACAATGTCTTGAGGTTCAATTCTCTTATTTTCACTATCAACTCTGGAGTTGTTCAAGTAAAGCCCCCCTTGCTTCAACAGACGCCGGGCAGCAGATTTGCTGTCAAGCAAACCAGATGAAACTGAGAGATCAACAAGAGAGAGATCAAGGACCTGATGATAAGGAAAAGAGCAGGAGGGGACATCCTCTGAGATGGCTTTAATGGTGTTCCAGTCCAATTTAGTATCAGCACCAGGCCTCATTGCTTCAGTTGCCTTGAGGGCCTCGTCCAGACCATCTTGACCATGCACAAAACGGGTGACCTCCTCAGCAAGCCTGCGCTGAGCTGTGTTGGGCAAGTATCCAGGTCTCTCCATCTCTCTCTCCAACTGTTTGATGTCATCCATGTCCAAGAAAGTGAGAATCTTGAGAAACCTGACCACATCAACATCAGGAACAGAGAACAAATACTGATACAATTTATAGGGAGACAACAGGGATGGCGAAAGCCATATGGCACCATCTTCGGACTTGCCAAATTTGGTTCCATCACTCTTCAGTAGAAGAGGAAACGTCAAGCCATATGCAGCAGCATCCACACGGAGAATCTTGCGTATGAGTTCAGTCCCTGCAGTTATATTCCCCCATTGATCGCTACCTCCAATCTGGACATTAACACCTTCATTGCGAAAGAGGTGCAGGAAATCATAGCCCTGCAATAACTGGTACGTGAACTCAGTATAGCTCATTCCTTGTTCTGACTCCAACCTCTTCTTCACACTCTCCTTTGCAATCATGCTCCCCACTCTTGCATATCGACCCACATCTTTGAGAAACTCTAACAACCGAACCTCTTTCCACCAATCATAATTGTTCAAGACAGAAACCCCACCTAGAATTCTCATAATTGTATTGGTAACTCCTGAGGTGTTTCGGGACAGAGTTTCAAGGTCGAGCTCTGGTCTCTCCAAGCTCTTGCCAGAAGGGTCTCCGACACGAGCGGTGGCACCACCAATCAAAGCTACGGGGTGATGGCCACATCTCTGGAACCATGAGAGGACGACAATTCCAATAAGGTTACCCAAGTGCAAGGATTCGGCAGTTGGGTCGAAGCCACAATAGACTTTGAGAGGAGGTAAAATGGGGTCGGAGCACACTTGCCTTAGATGCTCGCTGGTGAGGGATTCAAGCAACCCTCTCTCTTCAAGAATTTCAACCACATTTGGACGCCCAGACGAGGACTGAAAACACTTGACAGTAGAGAGAACGATTGGATTCCTCAAGTTATTATGACGAAGGGTGGGTAACCTAGACACAGTACTGAAAGGAGGAAAGAAGAATGGGAGACTACGGTAGTAATGGGAGTAGAGAAAAGCCCTTGAAGTGGTGGCTGCAGCCATTCTTAAATTCCTGCAAGAAAAAGGGAGATTTTCAGAACCATTAACACTTTTTCTTAATTTCTTATATAGTCATAATCAAGAGTAAACCACCAATCTTCCCTCTGAACTTAGGTCACTTTCAATGAAAAATGATATGCCAAGACGTACTGATGCCGATGCCACTATTTCCAGTGAAAGTGAATGAAGAGCTAGCAAGAAGCCAGGAAACCCACCTCTCAGAACCTTCAAACTCGAATGCATCTCTCTAAACAATGACTCCTTGGCACCCAGCCATCTATCTTAGTTGAAAGATTCTGTCAAAATTTTGCCATTATCTCCTTTGTTATATGATCAAAGGGCTGAAATCTAAAACAAAATGACGATTGAATTTTAAAATCAAGTAAAAGCCTATATAAGCTATATTCAAAAGCCAAAACTGAGACCAAGCCTAAACAGAAGCAGGGCATTAGCTACAACCAGTGGCGGATCCAGGAATTTTTCTCCTACTGGTCAATGTGTAAAAAGTTCTCAATTTTCTTAAGAAGGAAAAACCTTACAAGCATTGTCCACGAGGACGCTTTTTGAACAGGTCGCATTAATATTTCTTATCAACAATAGCAACAAAACAGTCCCCACAATAATAATAATAGAGTGTATCAACTAATAGAGCTCTAAAACTGAAATGATGGAAATTTGCTCCAAACCTTGACAAGTTTGAATAGAACATGAGAAAATGTTAAATCCATTAATAACGAACGTATCAAACAAATAAACTTAAACAAAACTATGTCCATAATTTATATCACTGTTTCTAAAAAAACCAAGAACCCCACTTAGTGGGAAAAGGCTTTGTTGTTGTTTCTAAAAAACCAAGTCTGTCCGTGATAAGTATACAATATGTTGGGGCATAGAATACGGTTGAAGCGATAAATCATTACAATTAAAAGAAGTAATCTCTATCATATGTAAGGATTTCAATTCATTTCTCATGTAGGAAAGTTGACATAGTCTTCTGTTTTTTGATAAACACAAGTTGTTTTATGAATGCACTAAGACTAGTTTCTTTACAAGGTTCTTTTAAGGAAGGCTGCGGCGTGCGTACCGCGCCACAACTTGCGCAAGGAATAGGCAGAAGCACGCAGCACAAGCCCGGGCGCCCCCATTGAGGCATTTTATCGGACAGTTGGAGGGCACTTTTTAAGGCAGACCCAAAAACTCCGAAAGGTCAACTCCAGACTTCCCACGAAGAAAAACACTAAATTCCTAACTTGCTAATATCCATAATTTAAAGAAATCAAATCAGAAAGTAAATTATAACTTAAGAAGAAGAAGAAGAAGAAGAAAAGAGCAAAATTTGCAGAGGCTGGGGAAAGAGGAGGAGTAGAAGGAGGAGGAGGAGAAGGAGGAGGAGGAGGAACTCACATGAAGTGAAGTTACATGCGCCAACAATGGCTGGCTGATAGCGCGGAGGAGTCTGAGGGGGATTGGAGGAGTGGCAGTGGCTGGCTGCTGCACTCCACACTATCGGGTTCTGGGAGAAGATAGAGTTTTCTGCTTGGTCCTTTTTTGTTTTTACGTCTAAAGATTTTTTTATTTATTTTATTTATTTATTTTTAATTTTTTTTATTGTGAAAAATGACTAAAAGAGATGGGGAAGGGGTAGACTTGTCTTGCAATAATAATAATGTGGTTCAAATTCGTTATGAGAATCGAATGTAAAATTTCTCACTTACAAGTGAAGATGAATACTACTAAACCGTAGTACTAAGTGATAATTCAACTAAATTAACTTAAATTATGGGAAGTCCTTGATTTTTACCAAAAATTAATTCAAACAACATTATTATTAGTTCTAAGAGTTTTAACCTACTCTCCTATCTACGCTATTTAATGTAGATAATATCATTTGTTTAGAAGAAAAAAAACTTAAATTATGAGATGAATTTAACATCCGACCTTAAATGCATGAACGAAGTCTATTAACTAATTAAGTTATAAGGAAAATTAATGAAAAAAACTTGAAAACTTTGAGTTTTAATGATAAGGAAAAAATAAAGGGCAAAATGAATAATACTACGATTGACTTTTTTTAGTGTAAAAATGTGATTTTTTGTTAAAATGAACAGTATCGCGGGCTTTTCGTTAAAACTCCTAAGTTATAAGCCTCTTATTTTTTAAGGAAAACTAATAAAAAAAGCTTGAAAACTTTGAGTTTTAATGATAAAGACAAAATAAAGGGTAAAGTGCATAATACTAAGATTAACTTTTTAGTGTAAAAATGTGATTTTTCGTTAAAATAAACAATAATATCGACTTTTCATTAAACTTCTCTATTTTTTAATGGTAATGGTAAATAAAATAATGCAACCATTAACAACCGCATGATAAAACTGGGTTTAAGGCTACCAACATGTGCCCGTGTCAAAGAAGGAATCATCATCGCCAAATTTCATGGCAAACGAGGCTCACTTTCTCTCCACCTCTCTCTCCTTCCTCTCCTTCAACAAGGTAACCTCTTCCCACTTCCCCCCTTTTCCAATTTACTGTTTGGTTGCCGGGAAAAATAACAGAGTTTATCAAAATGGAAGACCAAGATATCAATCAATCAACGTCAAAATTCTTTACTCTTCTGCTTTTCCAATTTACTGTCAATTTATTTATTTGTTCGAATATTTGCATATCCAATTAGGTTTCAAAATCTGTTGCATTTTCTATCATTGCTGCTGTGTTGCCATGGCTGTTGCATTTCTGGGTTGCACTCATAATTTCAATTGTTTGGCGTTATATCATGACCAGGCTGTGCTCCCAGAGTTCAGGCAATCAAAAGGTTTGAGCTTTTTGGTGAATTCGAGAATCAGCCGAAGCAAGCAAACGAGAGTTTCAATGGAGATGCGTGGAAGTGGAGGTCCAATGACAAGTGACCACTCTGCAGTTAAGATTCCACATGTACTGACTGTCGCTGGCTCCGATTCCGGTGCCGGTGCTGGAATCCAAGCTGATCTTAAGGCTTGTGCTGCTCGCGGAGTGTACTGCTCTACTGTCATAACCGCTGTTACTGCACAGAACACTGTTGGCGTTCAGGTTGTTATTTGATGTTGTTTTCCAATTTTCATGGGCTGTGTTCTGTTTGGTTGCTGAGAAAGCATAACATAAAAAATAGAAAAGAAAAATGTTTCTAGTGGTGATTGTTATCGTTCTTTTTATTTGATTGCTAGGGTGTAAACATTGTGCCCGAGGATTTTGTTGCAGAGCAGATGAAGTCTGTGCTATCTGATATGGATGTCGATGTGGTAAGTAAAAGTTTGTAAAAAAACATGAGCCATTATAAGTCAAAGTCTCGTGTCGTATTGTTTAAACATGGTGTTTAAGCAATAGAACACGAGCCGTTGTAGCTTGTAAAAAACCTAGGTCACAGGTCTACCAGGTCATCTGTGAAATCAACCATTCTGATACAATGACATGTGTTTCACTGACCATCATCACGAGCTTATGGAATTGATTAGTTTTCATTAATTGATTAGTATAGATGTTAGATTAGTTATATAGATAAAAGTTAATCTATATGTCAGAAGTAGCTAATGGATTATTGTAACTGGAGCCTATTTTTCTTTGTTCTTCAAAGCAGACTAGATAGCTCAATGCATGTGCTCTTGAGAAAATATTCACTTCAAGCATAGGGGTTTCAGATTCCATGTCATCTTTCTCTATTCATCTTATTTGGTTATCAAACAGAACTGGCCTGATAACAGAGAACTGCCAATGAAACAAGTCTCAAATAGTATGGTAAACTTGAGCTGGAAATTAGACCCAATGACCATTCAATTCTATGACTGGCCGGCTTGTTGACATGTGTGTATGTGTCTGGTCATGTCTATGTAGTAAATCGAGACATCAACAAATATGAAATTGCATTAAAAAGCATGTTGGTTCCACTGAGGAAAAGCATAACTTAATTTGAATGGATGCAAATAAGCGCATGTTTGATGCAGAGAAGCTTATATATTTTATCTTTGGATTTTTGCGTAATTCTGGATTCTGCATATTGAGTGCAATGAATTTCACCAGATGTTGAATTGTTGATTATAATATTCTTTTGCAGAATCACAAATTTGAAGTTTTGATCATATTCGTAGTGTTAATATTCTCTGTAAACTAATAACTTAAGCATTTTCAGACCAAGAACTTTTTGTGAATTAAGTTGCAATCTACTTCACTTTGTCTGTATTTGGCTAAAAGTTTAATCGTAGTGTCATAAAATGTTATTTAAAATGCTATTATAAAAATGTCAGCTTTCACTTCCTCTGTACTTGAGGCATGCCTCTTTTGCAAACTTGCTTTTATCAAGAAGCGGTATTGATACTAAATTGGTTTTGATCTGCTCATGATATGTCATTACTAGGTGAAAACTGGGATGTTACCTTCTATTGGCATCGTTAAGATTCTTCATCAACAACTTCAGGTGTATCCTGTTCGAGGTATGCAGTCCTATTAAAAATTGAACATTTATTTTCTAATGTTACTAAATGAGCATTTTTAATGAATTGGTAATGTCATTGAAGGCAGCTTTAGTGGTTGACCCTGTTATGGTGTCTACGAGTGGAGATGTATTGGCTGGTCCTTCAATACTTGCTGTGTTTAGGTATGCCAATCCTTTGTACATAAGATTGAGTAAATTCATAGTAATGCCTTCTTTTTTTTTTCTTTCTTTTTTTTGCTTTGTGAAAATCTCTTGTGGGCCATGTGGTAGTGTGATTAGGATGTTGAAACCATCTATTGAATGCAAAATGTGCATTCAGATCTGCTTGGCAGAAACAGAGAATTGTATTGGCAGGTTGTGCTCTTTGAATAAACATGGATATTCACTTCTATGTTCTTGAATTGCTCCTTCGCCATTTTTCCTTGTGTTATTTCTTGGCCAATTATCCGTCATTGGATATTTTTCTTCTTAAGTTAGAGAAAAGGTCTCCTTGTGTAACAGCAGATACTTGTCAATAATTGTAATTTTGTGGTTTTTGCCTGCAGAGAGGAGCTTCTTCCTATGGCTGACATAGTAACCCCAAATTTGAAAGAGGCATCAGCTTTACTGGATGGAGTGAAAATAAACACAGTTTCTGACATGCGTTCTGCTGCAAAATTGTTACATGATATGGGTCCACGGTTAGTGAATGGAACATGCTTGAGATCTCAGTTCTCTCTTAATCGGACGATTTACAAAACTCTTGTTTTTTGCATTGTTGCAGTTTATTATAGTCCTTCCAATGTCACTCAACTGTTGGACATGTTTTTAATAAAGCAGAAATGTTGCATTAGTACTAAATTTGAATGCATTGCATTGTGAGTACTGTTGAAATCACAAGAGAAGGCAAGCACTTCCCATTAACTCGCTGTTGCATAGTTGAACTTTTAAGGTGTATAATATGTATTCATAAATGTTACTGGCTTTTGTTTGTTCTCACAGAAAAAATTCTTCCATTACGTAAGACTTTACTTGGAATAGTTAATCATTTCACCTGGATAATCAACTAAAATGCGAAGGTTCACTTTTGTAGTTGTTAACTACTTCCAGTATGTCACACATTTTTAAAACAGAGTGCCCTTGAAATTGTATTAAGGAATTTGTACTAAATGGTCATAGTCATTTCTTTTTGTTCATATTACGTACATATAGGTTTGCTTCTTGGTTGCGTTGGTTCAATGGCTGTACTACATATCCATCTTTGATCCTTTTGACCTCACTCTTGAATCAGTGGAGGGGATAAATGTAAAACTGTTATCATGTTTAAACTTGTCTGATTGATGGGGCAGTTGGGCGCCTAATATTATATGATGAGCGTACAGGAAAAGCTTTTCTGGACTTTTGGGGAATCAACAAATTCATCTATTTTCTCAGTAGATGGCTTGCTTTGCTTTTGGCCAGTTTCTTGGAAACAAGATTGCGTGATCACGGACTATGATAGACTAATTTGATGGGTATTAGTACTCTGTAAATATTGTTTTGGTTTCCAAAGAACTGTCTCTCAAGCTCTTAACTTATGACAGCAAGGACCTTTGACATATTTGGCAAGGTCTATGGCTCTGTGCCATCCTCAGTATGTTGTCACCTATATACAACAAAAATGAGGAGACAATGACTGTTCAAGGGGTGTGTAGCCAAATATCTCATGGTCTGTCATTTAGGTTTAGGAACAGTTGAAGTTAGATAACATTGACATATTATATCAAGCAAATATCTCTTGGTTTCGCTTCATTCGGCAATATTTTTCACAGAATTAATGCAGTGTGGTAGTTGGAAAATTTGAAGTAAAAACTAAGTTTCTTTGTGTTGAAACTGTAGTTTGTTAAAACAAAGTGCATCTTTGCTTTCAGAAATGTTCTTGTCAAAGGCGGAGACCTCCCTGATTCATTGGACGCTGTTGATATCTTCTTTGATGGTAAGCTTTAGTCTTCTGGAACCTTCACTGATGGTGATACTGTTCTTTCATCTACTTAATGCATGAGTGTTCTGGAAAATTTAATGTTTAGAATTGATATTGCAGGCAAGAACTTATATGAGCTGCATTCGTCACGCATAAAAACTCGTAATACTCATGGAACTGGTTGCACTTTGGCATCATGTATTGCAGCTGAGCTGGCAAAAGGTTCTTCAATGCTCAAGGCTGTTAAGGTAATAACATTTACACTTCTTAATAAATCACATGCTACAGGGAGAGTAGATGAAAAAAAAAAAACCTGGCTTTCTTTGTTGAGCACGTATTCTGAAGTAGTCACACTCAAGAACAACAGAAGATAGTCATGGTTTGTTTGATTCCAAATAGCGGGGATAACTTAGTGTCACATATGTGAAATTCCACTTTCACTGTGTTCGGGCTGTACAGAGTGGGGTAACAACTAATATAGCATAATGTCTACTCCAATACCATAAACTCACTGGACAATTTTATAACCTTGTCAGTGTTTGCTTTTATTCTGCAGCCTTGAGGAATTTTTTGGATGCTGGTCAATTAATTACTCAACTAACAAATTATCAGTCCCATCTCTCTTCCCTTCCTCCTCTTGTTCTACAAGGCCTTCCCCCCCCCTCCCCCTATTTTTGATTAATTTACAGCATTTTGGCCTTTGTGATATTCCTTGGAGTTTTGATGCTAGTTGAATTACAATTTATGTTTCCTATTATCTCATACTTTGTTCTTTTGCTGCTGCTGCTCACTCACACCTACACCAACAAGCAAAACAGAAAAGCACTTACATTCACAAATGCAATTGAAGACCCGCAAATATTATCTTTTTTTATCTTAATTTTGGCAGGCATCTAAGTTCTTTGTCGAGACTGCCTTGGATTATAGCAAAGATATTTCCCTTGGAAAAGGTCCCCAAGGCCCTTTCGATCACCTAATGAACCTCAAGCACAACTCGGGTCGACAAGTCAGATTCAATCCAAGCGATTTATTCTTGTATGCTGTTACAGATTCACGTATGAACCGAAAGTGGGGCCATTCTATCTCAGATGCTGTTAAAGATGCCGTACAAGGAGGTGCTACAATTGTCCAATTGAGGTTTGTTACTTATTTAATGCTCATCATAACTCTTTATAAAACTTAGGCTTAATGTCTCTCAGATAACTTACGTACTAGTAATTTGGTTTTTTCATTTGTGCATCTATAACTAATCCTAGAGATGCCTTTAAGGTTGATGTTCATTCTTCATGTGTTTTAGATGATCATTTCTTTTCTCTTGTGGAGTAGTATGTGTGCTTTTTCTTCAGTTTTCTCTGGGATTAATGAAAATGAGTTCAATCCCCAAGGCCTCCTATATTTCTGATTTCAGTTTACAAATATGCGAAACTTTATGAAATTAATGTTTAATAAAAAGTTTTACGCAGCCACTCTTTAAGGAGTTTGCATTTGCTTTTAGTTTCACTTTGAGATTGCCTACTTGGAACTGCGATCAACTGTCACCCACTCTTCTCAAGTATATTGTTTTCATGTATTCTTTTCGCCTCAATCAAGACATCCACTCTACATGTTTCTTGGACTGAATTGAAATTTTCCTTGTCGATGGGCATATGTTTGGATTCGTTCCCATAAATATTCTTATGAGACCTAATAAATTTCTGCTTTTAGTTTTCCGTTTGTTGATCTTGACATGGTTTAACTTTGCTTTGCAGGGAAAAGGATATTGAAACAGGGGATTTTCTGGAAGCAGCCAAGTCATGTCTCCAAATTTGCCGTTCCCATGGAGTTCCATTACTAATAAATGATCGTATTGATGTTGCGCTTGCTTCCGATGCTGATGGTGTGCATATTGGCCAGTCTGACATGCCTGCCCATGTTGCACGTTCTCTCCTTGGCCCTGAAAAGATAATTGGTGTGTCATGCAAGACACCAGAGCAAGCAGAGCAAGCATGGCTAGGTGGTGCTGATTACATTGGTTGTGGTGGTGTATATCCAACTAATACAAAGGAAAACAATCGCACTATAGGCTTGGACGGGCTGAAAACTGTTTGTTTGGCGTCTAAATTACCCGTGGTTGCGATTGGTGGGATCAATATTTCAAATGCGCGTGCAGTGATGGAAATTGGCGTACCAAACCTGAAAGGCATTGCAGTTGTGTCTGCTCTATTTGATAGGGAATGTGTTTTGACAGAGACTAGGAAGTTGCATGCAGTGCTAACGGAGGCAACAGCAGCAGCAGCAGCAGCAGCAAAGTGAAACATACGGGGATAAGGCCGGCCTCGATGCAAATTTTCATTTTTCTTGTTAGTGGTTAGAGAAGTCAAATGTACTCGGTTCTTTTGGGTTCATCGCACCGGAAAAAGTTGATCCTGCTCAGCGGCGGAGTATGGACGGTTGTTTGCTTAGCATGGGACGTTTTGTTGCTCGGTATGGACGTTTGTTTTTTCTAATATTTTGCGTAAAGGGGTTCGGGTTCGGCATGATGTAATGCAGCAGAAGTGCGATATACTGCTCTAAATTAATTCATAATATGTTTCCATGTGCTTGGCTGCTCACTTGAGTGGATTGATCGATCGAAAACTTGAATTATTGAAGACATTATTGTATATTTATCTTTTTCTTGAGTAGATGTGAAGAATATAAAAATCCCCTTTGCTGTATTCGAACTCAAGATCTGTCCCCCACAATTTGATTTTTGTTTGTACCCCAACAAAAGTCAACCCTATCCTCACTGATGGGCTTTGAACCCTGGATCTATTGCCCGTGGGCGAGTGCAATTTCGGTTGGGTCAACTCGAGTTCGTTCATTTCAACTTAATTTTAAATTTGATTGGGCGGGTTAGAATGAAGGAAAAACTCACCTAAATTCAATCCGGTCTCAACCCGATCATTTATTGGGATGTGGTGGGTTCTGTTTTTCTTGCCCATGTGAACCCTAACCTGAACTGATATCTAGCTTGGATTCACGTCATACGCATTTTAGTAATCCCAGTTCATATTATTATAGCTAGAAATATGTTTTTGGATGATTGTACTTGAAATTTGTTGTTCATTTTCATTTGGATAAACAAATAGTTTGCTTTGACGTCTTTCTTTCAATTGAAGCTTTGATGTTGCTTTTAATTTAGGGAGGTTTAACAAAATATTCCCGGTACTGTTCACTTTTAACGAAAAACCACATTTATACCTTTCTCTGGTACTATTCACTATACCTTTAAAAATGGCTTTTCATTAAAAGGGAAGTTTTCCATTTAATTTAATTCCAACTTTAAAACATTAGAAGTGCTTTTCAAGCTATTTGGTTTATCCTTTGTGTGGATGATGTGTAGAAATTGGATTTAACTAGTATTGACATTATTTGGTTAAAAATTTGAAAAATCTTGCAAAACAAGGTGTTACAAGATTGAAATCGATAAATTTATCAAACTAGAACCCAACTTAAGTAAACTTGCACTCAATTGGAATCCGAGCTTGAATGAACTCGTACAAACCCGAGCTAGCCCAAACCAAAATTGTGAAGGTTGGGGTCAACCCACCCAACCCGCTTGAGTTGCATCCCTATCTATAGCCTAATCCTACCTATCGCTCTGCCTACCCCCCACCAACGGATACCCTTTGAAGAAGAGAACACCCTATCTTCAAAACAAGTTCAACCAAGAACGTTAACTTGGAAGTTTGGAAACCTGGAAAGTGAGATTGGTTGATTCTTGAGGTTAAAATGGGGATGTCCAAAGATAAAGTTTGTGTTGATTGTTATCAAAACATGGTAAGTGAAAAAATTATGAAATCAAGCAAAAAAGCATTTTACTACCAAGAAATGCTATGGAGACTTTCAAAGTGAAACTCTCCATGGACTTTGCCACCTCATGGTTTAACGTCAATTTTTGTGTCAACATTGTGCAAAAAACATGAGGTGTCATAGAGTCCTTTGCAGGTCCCACTTTTGAGAGTACTACCTACCATACAACTGACAACTGACAACTGGACATGCAGTCACAAGTCAGGGTGACACCCAAATATATAACAAAAGTAATATGTTCCAACTGAATAAACTTGCTTACATACCACACCCCATTAGGGGGCAAAGTTTCCTTTTTGACAATCTCTTGTTCTAAAGATGAAACGAAACAACACAACCCGTTTAGGCTTTAACACTTCCCCCTCCGAGCCTCCCACCTCCCTTAAATTCGAAAACAACGACCCAAAACATCTCAAACCCACGATCTTTGACTATAAATTCTACTAGTGATACATCCACAGTCAGTCACAGCACCACACTATAATTTACAGAAGTTTGTTTATTGAAACACCATCGCCTACGCAAAACAAAAAAAACTGACTCTTCATACAAGCATAACGTTCTTGACTACGCAGATATTGAGAACCTGAACTTTTGGGGTTTTTTGATATTGAGGAAGAAACTACTTCTCAGCTGACGCGCACTTCTCCACTTGCATGTACTTCTTTGACTGTCTTGTCATACTCGTCTTCTTCTTCTCCCTCGCCTTCTACATCTTCCTTTGTATCACCATCTTCTTCTCCCCAGCCAAAGCCTCCAATTGATCGGGAAACTGGAGGAGGATTTTTGGCTTCCTCCACTATCTTCATGATGTCTTCAATACTTTGGAGAGAAAAGGTTGGGTTTTCTTTTCTGTAGTAAACGGTTTGAGCTGCTTCTGTAAGCTCTCTCGGCAAGTTCTTTAAAAACCACGGGTGGTTCTTGATTTCTTTAATGGTGATCCTCTGAAACAAGAATTGAAGCCAGTTGAGCACATCATGGAAGGGTATGATAAGAACCAATATCAAATTCACTTCAGCCTTTAATGTTCAACACTAGCACAATGATTCAAACTTTTATAATTCATTTCTTTTCGTTTTAGGGGCCACTAAAACCTCGGCAGGAGCAAATCGGATGAGACTGATTGTAAACAAAATATATGAGGACTGAGATGCATACCTCCATCTTCTCATTCTGAAGGTTAAAACATTAATTGGTTGTTAAGACAACAATTACGTTTGAGGTACCATCATGGATTTTTTATTCTTCCAAAGACTATCAAGGTAAAGATTGCAAGGGACACTTTATTATACGCCTAGTCTAGTAGCCTATTCTGTGTCAACAGCCTATATACACAAATTAATTTGATGTTGTCATAACAAGACAATGAGCCAATTGCCATTAACCTACAAAGTTCAGAAACCTAAAGCTTTCTTTTTTAAGTAAATATTATTGAAACTTGCCAGGCAACATATTATAATACATACCCTTCCTGGATTTGCAACAAAGATGCGAGAGAGGAGATGCCTACAATCTTGAGATATGTGAACATAGTCTGGGATCTTGTACTGAACAGACATTATTTTCTGCATCAAAAGAATGAAAAGGAAACTACACAGTTAAAGCGGAAAAAGGTTAATGATTAACTTTCAGGGCTGAATAAATAGTAAAATTACATTAATGGTTTTCCTGAAATTCTTTGGATCTTCTTGGTCTTCAAATGGATAAGCTCCCACCAGCATAACATACAGGGTTACTCCACATGACCACACATCTGCCAACTGGATGAACAGAAATGAAAATCAGATGATTGAACTGAAGTAAAAGCTGTATAATATATATTTTTTGTTGAAAATTTCTATTTAAATTCTAAGCACAAAAGATTCAATGAACACGTGTACAACATCATTTAACTTCCTGCTCTCCCCAGGTAGGAGAACGGTTGAACTCCCTAATTCCTAGTTGTCATGTAAATGAACATTGCTATTACAGAAGCAAATAATTGAGCAAAAGAAAAATGATCTGTGCTCTATAAACTATAAAGTCAAATACATCATGACGTCTAATCTACTACTCCAAGTTTCAACTCATTCATCGTCATTGAATGATATACCTGCACCTTCAACCACCTACTTGGCACAACAAGAAATCACATAAAGAAATCTTATGACGCAATCCGGAAATACCATTTGTTGTAATGATTGGCTATCAACTAATCCTTAGAACAATATACAAGCATCTTTAAAATTGTAGTGCATCAATTACAGAGAATAATGAAAAGGACAACAATGAAAAAAATTAAAGCTACCTTGCCATCATACTCTCTTCGAGAAAGAACTTCAGGAGCAATATATGCAGGAGTTCCCACAGTTGATTTAGGCCTTGAATGCAGCAAGGATGACTACACAAATAAAGTTCATCAGAATATAGAACTTTTACATTTACCTTGAAACATCAAAAGCCTCTGACAGTATGTTCATTATAGAATTAAACCTTAGAATAACCAAAATCGCAAATTTTCAGGCGTGGAGCTGGGCTGCCATCCAGCAAGGTATTTTCCAGCTTTAAATCTCGGTGGCATATTTGCTGCACAGAAAGACAAGAGAAAAATGAGAATCACAGGTTAAGGGAAAAATCCATTGGAGATCACGAACTCTAACAACTCATATTATCTTTACCAGAGAATGACAGTAGCTAACTCCCGAGATAAGCTGCTGAAAAAAATACCTAGCCTGCAAAACCAACAAAATTTAACTATTTAAGATGAAGTTGTCACTTAGCAACTTAACAAATTAGCCACATCGGACAAAACACATTGGAGGGTTATCCAATCATAAGTATTGGCATGCTATAAGTATAGCTATCAATTTCTTCATCATTTCCAGGATTTTATTAGGACACGAGTACAAAAGTTTTTAAAAAATTGGAGCCTCTCATTAATCAAGATCAGTGATCAAACCTCATCTTCACTGAACCTTCCTGCATTGCAAATCCTCTCAAAGAGCTCTCCACCAGCTGCATACTCCATAACAATAGCAAGATGTGTAGGAGTCAAAACTACCTGAAATTCCAGAACCTCGTATTAGCACACTGAAACTGATAAGATTTGATTTGGATCCTTCAGAGTTTCAGAATGACGGAGACCATATCAATAAACACACACCTCCTTGAACCGAATGATGTTTGGGTGGCGAAGTGATCTATGGTTTATGATTTCCCTTGCCACATTCTCATCAATCTGCAACCAAACAATGGAATATACAGTTGATCACATACACATATACACATACATATAATCATATGAAAATAACAAAATAATCTGTTTCTTATGGATTCATTGAACGAAATGGAAAGATTCTAGCTTTTTCTGAGTACCAACTCCGAAATCAAACAAGTGGGTCCTATATGAGGTTTATAATTCTAAAAGAAATAAACTTCAATGCAAAAAGAAAATAAGTAAAAGGTGATATGAAATTACAGTGAAATAAAAAAGAGGGGGAAAGTAAGAACCTTGAGGCCGCGTTCGATGTATTTCATGGCGACGAGCTCTTTGGTCTCCTTGTTCCTCATAAGCCTGGCCACCCCAAAATTCCCAGATCCAATATCCTTAACAAGCTCGTACTTTTCCATTTTCTACGCTTTATTTCTTCAAATTTTGCTGTTTCAGGCTCCGTATAGAAACTCCAATTGAGCTACACACCTCGGAATCTTGAAAGGATCGATTTAGCTTTCAATTCATGGATGATCTCCAAGCTCACACAACACCCAAACGGAGCAATTGGATCGAATTGGAAAAAACCCAAATCCTGGAACCGAGATCAGCGTTCTAGAGAGACGGAGATGGTGGGGGGGGATTGGGAAGGAAGGGGGTTATTGAATTGGATCACTTGCTGGATTTGATTTGGGGAATTATTTAGGGTTGGGGTTGCATGTGGTGAAGATTGAAAGAAAGATTATTCTATATGTGGAGAGAGAGAGAGAGAGAGAGAGAGAGAGAGAGAGAGAGAGAGGTTTGAGGGTTGATGAGCAAAGTGAGGGATCCAAGATGCAGAGAAATTTCTTAGAAGGGTAGTAAGCAAGGAATCAGAAAACGCTTTTTTAAAGAATCCCAAACACTGGTTCTGAGCTTTCTTATTTATTTATTTTCAATTTTTTAAATTTCTCTATTTTTTTACCATTTTGTTCGTATTATGCATGACTTTGACTATGAATGCATGTACCAGAGAACAAAGGATATAGATTGAGAGGGACCTTTCTTCGCTCCAAAAAGGTGGTCGGGACCAAAAATTTGGGATCAATTATACTAAAGATTTTCCAGTATGATCGGTACACGGAGTAGTATATCAAATTTCACTAAATAAATTGTGAGATATATATGCTAAAAAGTTAATTACTTAAGAATTAAAAATTTGCACCATTTCTATTAAAGCACATGATGTACCACTTGTGTTTCAGTTATACTAAAAATTTCTCTAATTATACATCAAACCTCCCATTATAATTGTAGATGCTAGTATAGAAAATGCTTTTCTTTTCATTTTTTTTTTAAGAAAAAATTAACGAAAAGGGTTTGAAAACTTTGAGTTTTAATCAAAATGACAAAAATGTATTGTAAGTGAATAGTATAATGAGTGACTTTTTACAGTAAAAATGTGGTTTTTTATTAAAGTGAACAGTACCATGAGCGTTTCGTTAAAACTCCCATTTGTATTGTTATTATTTTGGTTCCGACTCTTGGCAGTGGTGAATCCATAATTCTAACATTAGGTGGTTCTAATCAAGGTATACTAAATGTAGTCGGGTGGTGAGCTGGGGCCTAAGTATGAGTCTAGGTAAACTAGGCTGATATAAGTAAAGTTATTATATATCATATGAATAAGACCTAAGCTTATACGTTCATCTTCGTCATAAATTAGATCATTCTTCTTTGTTCTTGACTTCTGGTGCACGACACTTGCCTAAATCGTTGGATGGTCTTCTCCCTTCCACCATATGCCCAGACTGTTGGGTGGTCCCAGGACACCCAGATCCATGAGTGGATTTGCCTTTGGTCCTCGATCAACCAAATTATTACACTGCAACCATGTTTAATTAAATATTTTGATCGAAATCCTTAGTATTATTGTAGCTCCTTCATTTATGAATTTAATATTTTCACAAAATATGATAAATAAATTCAAATGAGAGTAAATAATATTTTTTAAATATAATAATCACTTTAAAAATGAACACTAGAGTAATACTCTTCTCTAAGTTAAATGTACCAGCAATTATTAATATTTAAAAAGAACAGCCATTGGTATAAAATAAATATATGTAATTAACTTGGGTACATTATTACTTAGTATTACGGTCTAGTGATATTTCTCCTTCACTTGTAAGTCTTAAGTTCGATGCTCGTCAAAAATGTACCTGAACCATATTATTGTTAGTCCATTTGTGAGACTGAGCACATCCTCTCTCTTAATATAAATAATATCGTTTGTTAAAAAAAAACATATATATCCTCAGCAAAAAATATATACCATGCACGATCTAGCGTATTAAAGGATATCCACTTAGATAATTCTCCAATTAAAAACAGTTTAGATTAACATATAGTAAAGAGGGTCTTTATCACAGGAATTCCTATGGCTTTCCTCCAACTCATCTGGACTACTTCTATGTGTGTTGTTATCAATGGGCCCACTACTTCATATTAAATTCTTAATCTCCAATTGGTGGTCTTTGCCCCTAATCACAATCTGATTGCTTTTTAAGGCATTACATCAAAAGAGGTTGTCATTACTTTGACAAAAAGAAAAGGTTGTTTTCTCCAAAAAAAAAAAAAAAGAAAAGAAAAGGAAAGGTTGTTATTACGAAATATGGTGAAAATCGTTTATTAAATTGTTGAAGAGAATCTAACATTTATTTTGGTTTGGTATAAGGTCTTGAGGTTAGGTCTAGGGTTTGTTGTTTTGTAATACAATATATTAATTATCTTCTTCTATACGTACGTTTCTCTCTTTTCGAGGCTAAATTAAACTAAACTAAATTGCTATATGTATAATTAGTATAGTCTAATTGATAAGACAATTGGGTTAAATAAAAAAAAGTTGGTCCACCTGTGCAAAAAATAGATGATAATTAGATCAAGAGCTTGTGCCCTTTCAACGGCCCTTCCAACTTTTGCTTGGGCTTGGGCTCGCCAACTACATGAGTTGACTGAGTTGCGTGCACCCACGTGCACAACCCATAGCCAAATTGCTCCTTTTACTTCCAAGTTGAGCTATTGAATTTCCAATGGTCAACCGATTGGACCGTTAGATTACCCACGGTAAACAAAATTGTAAATTTTTTTGCAATTGCGACGTGCCGCAATTTGGGGCATCCAACATAAATAATTTTGACATTCAACGGCAAGGATTATTGTAAGAGTAAGAAATAAAAAAAATTACCAAAAATATATCCAAATTATTTAAGAAATAAAAAAATTACAAAAAAAAATCCTTTTTTTCTTTCTCTAAATACCCAACCATCCTCTTCTGAAATATATTATTGAAATTATACAATCATTTTATTTTCATAGAACATACTTACAAGGTATAAATATATAAAAAAAAAATAATATACATATTTATCAATAGTATCCTTACCCTTCACAAACAGGTGAACTTGCCATGGATGGAGCTGGCTTAGGCCCAGTAGGGGCGCATGCCCCCCTTAATTATTTTTTTTGTTGAAAAAAATATACTCTTTTAGTTGCTTGTGATGTTAGTATGAACTATTTTATGCACAATTGTCATCGTTGAAATAACATATTCAGCCATAAAATTTCTAAAGATCGATTGAGAATTTGGATGAGAGATCAATGGATGAATGATAACATGATTATTTTTTGATAGAGAGATTTTATTGTATTAGTAATGAATTTGTCATGCAACGTTTCAAAACATAAAACACGTCGAGGGATATTGTAATAAGTTGTATAAAAAAAAAAAAAACTTACGGATTAATATACAAGTGTTTTGTTAAGTACATTCTTGAACTTTTTAATTTGTGACTTTGTTATTTGAGGATGCTCTCGTCCATGCAGATTTCTAGCTTCGTCCCTGTAACTTGCACAAAGGTAATTGCTCTTCAAAGTTAATGATAAAGACAATTTAATTTCCCTTGCCCTTGCCGTTGCGCTCCTAAAATGAATGGCCTCGCTCTCACGGATCTCACATATGCCAAGGGACGCCTCCGCCGTGTAGATAGCACCAATTGGAGTATGTGGTGTCGAGTTGAAGGGCGTGGTGTCATCATCGACCTCTCCATGGTTGACTAGTGGAGCTCAATCACTCTCCATGGATGTCCACTAATATTGTCATCTTCTAATGTCGATGTTACAACTTGAAGATAAAAACAAGGGCCGTAATGATTTGAAAAGATCTTGCCAATAGAAAGAAACACAGACACGAAGAAAAACAAGACCAAGGATACGAAGAGAGACTCTGCGCTGTCGAGCACTTTTGTTTTGTTCATGTTCTTGTCTTCTTTCATTCCCAAACATCTAGCATCACCCCCCAACATGCATCACCCTCCCTTGCCTAAAGCTTCTATAATTCAAATTTCATCTTGAAAGTAAATAATTATGAAAAATAAAATTTAGCCCGTAGATTTTCGCACGAGACCAAGAGTGATTGACAATTTATGTGAATTCATAGGTTCGCCTCTGAAATAGCTCCATGTGAAACCCTAGATTCTCCCAACATCTAATACGACTCTTCAAGACCAGTATGGTTCCAGCCCAAAAAACTTAATAAAATAATGCCAATGTCGATGAATAAATTAACAGATGATATGAAAGTTCAAACTCTGTTGAATTTATCAGTCAAATCCTTAATATGAACCAAATGTGTCTCAAAGTTACGCTGTTGTATAATTATGACCCTTAATTTTGCCGCTTTCCAATTCAAAATGGCTTTGAGCGGTGCAAACCCCCAGCCACAGGGTATAAAAAGAGTTTCCAAATCAGGCTCTTCATTGGAATAAGAAGAGATCCAAATGAGGTACATGCTCTCAATTTGGCAACAGTGCTCGTCCCAAATTTCAAGGTACAGGCCTCTAAGATTTGTTTCCCTTCCAAAAAAGGGACCAATTGGTAGTTTCCTCACAATATCCTACCATTTTGGAAGCCGGAAAGACTCAGAAAACCATTTCAGTATCCCTCTGTCCATCAGTAAGATACTTCCAGGTAGAGCTCTGTATGATATGTATTGGGGTTTTTGTGGAAGAATACACATTACGAGGATATCAATGTGATATTTGGGTGCTGTGAAACAACATGATCCATAACAGCCCAATAAACTCAGTCTCCAAAGGACAAAACAAAGAAACAAAAAGCCCAACCGAAAAGGCCAAAAGTCCCAGGCCCAAAAGGCCCAAATTAAATTAAAGGGCAAAAAAAGAAAGAAAGATGCGTTCCGAAGTCTTTCTTTTGTGAAGACTTTGGAGAGTAATTGAGTCGAGTCCGAGTGGCATCAGCCTCAGCCTTTGCCTCCTCTGCCTCTGGGAGAGATCACAACACAAAACATTAATCCACCTCCTCTCGCTCACCGTCCAGATCCCACCCTCGCCGGCGATCGCCATGTTCTCCTCCGTCCGATCTCTCTCCCCCCTCCTCCTCTTCGTCTTCTTCCTCCTCGCTCCCGCCTTCGCCTCCGAGTCAGATCACAAGGTAAATTATTTCACGCTCTCTCTCTCTCTCTCTCTCTTCCATTTTGCGTTGCTCAGACCCTAGCATTGGCTCTCCCACTAAATCCTGGTAGATCTCTATGTTTGTCCTTTTAATCTCTGAATTTCGATTCAGATCTGTAATTTGTACGGTTTGTTTGTGTATGTGTTTGTTAGGGTAAGATCTTAACTGGGTTTTTCTTATTGGTCGTGTTGTTTCTGTTTTTATCTTATGGGTACCTACGATAGCGCTTATAGTGGCGAATTGGGACTTGCAATGGTGATTTTAATATAGGGTTTTGGTATTATGATAATGGGTTCCAGGGGCCTCAAGGAAATCGGTGACGAAAATTGTGTACGTTGGGGTTTATGCTTGCATTTGAGTAGATTTGCGATTGGATGCCTTTAGCA